CACTTAAGTGGCCTTTTATTTCAATGATACATTTTCTGCAAGTACAGCTTTTAAAAATATATAATTTTAAGATTTGAAGTACATTAAAATTGCACATTCAGTACAGTTAAGTTCACTTTTTAACAAGGGTGAGTATGGTTGTTTTATATATAATAATAAAAAGAAGTCTGGGATTAAATATAGTTTGCTCAAGGTGACAGAATATATTTATGGCATCAGCAACTTTCCAGTTCTTTTCAGCAGGTGGACTGAACCTCAAATCTTTTTGTTCGCAAATCCTCAACTACTAATTCATTTTAGGGCTACTAGCCTTTATTTACAGGCCACATTGTGTTCTCATGAATGTAAATGTGATGACACATTATCATTGTGTGCAGAGTTTCCCAAGACTTTAAAAACTAAAGAGCAGCTGGTGGAGTATCTAACTATCGTCATCTTCACTGCTTCTGCAATTTTAGGGCTACTAGCCTTTATTTACAGGCCACATTGTGTTCTCATGAATGTACAGTAAATGTGATGACACATTATCATTGTGTGCAGAGTTTCCCAAGACTTTAAAAACTAAAGAGCAGCTGGTGGAGTATCTAACTATCGTCATCTTCACTGCTTCTGCACAACATGCTGGAGTAAACTTTGGCCAGGTAACACACAATAATGTTTCTGTAATATTTAGTTGTAAAGTAAAATGAACAGCAAAAGTCCAAGGCTAATATCAATGTTCTGAAACTTTACTCCAGTTTGACTGGTGTTCATGGATCCCAAATTCCCCTCCAACCATGCGGAAGCCTCCTCCTACAAAGAAGGGCGAAGTGGATTTGAAGTACATAGTGGAGAGTCTGCCTGACCGAGGACGCTCCTGCTGGCATCTGGGAGCCGTGTGGGCCCTCAGTCAGTTTCAAGAAAATGAGGTCTGAAATAAGTGAACATCTATGAATATATAAAAACTATGTGAGCGATGACAAATACTGAAAGGTATGATTTTTGCAGTTGTTCCTAGGTATGTATCCAGATGAACACTTCATTGAAAAACCTGTGAAGGAGGCCATGGTGAAATTCTGCAAGAAACTTGCAGAACTGACTAACGTCATCAAGAGCCGAAATGACGGAAAGAAGCTGCCTTACTACTATCTGTCGCCAGACAGAATCCCAAACAGTGTGGCTGTCTGATTCACCAGTCGCACGGGATCAGAAGTGCTATGCTAGTAGTAGGAAGTGTTTTATCAGAGTGTTTTATGTGTTAAAAATTGGTAAAAGAAAGAATTTTATATATATAAAGTTTGCCACACTCTTAAAAATAAAGTTTTTTTATTGGCATATGTGGTTCCACGAAGAACCTTTAACATCTATGCAATCTTTCCATTGCACAAAATGTCCTTTATAGTGGAAAAAGTAAAATAAGATGTTTAAGATCTGTACACTGAAAGGTTTCTAAATGGTTCTTCTATGGCTTCACTGTGAAACCACCCCTTTGGAATTGTTATTGTTAAGAGTGCATGTGTGATGTAAGGAAAGTTTCATAGTTGTATGATTTACTTTTTTATGAGAAAGAAGAAATTATGTAATAACAGAGGTTGTAGCCAGAAATTATTTCATGCCTTTTTATTATCCTAATGTCAACATTTTGCTAAGGTGAAATTAGAGTCCATCTGTTCAGAGGTGTTTTTAATCAGTGAGGTAACTATCAGGTGTCAGTGTGTGCCCTGTTTTATTTAAAGAACAGGGATCTATCAAAGTCTGGTCATGTCTGTGGAAGTGTATTATGGCACAAACAAATGAGATCTCTGAGGACCTCAGAAAAAGAGTTGGTGTTGCTCATCAGGCTAGAAAAGATGTAAGGAAAGTTTCATAGTTGTATGATTTACTTTTTTATGAGAAAGAAGAAATTATGTAATAACAGAGGTTGTAGCCAGAAATTATTTCATGCCTTTTTATTATCCTAATGTCAACATTTTGCTATTTTTGTACCCTTTACTTTACCCACACATCAAACAAATGTTACTATTTTTTTTCTCATTTTTTAGCAACATTATGTTCATTCTTGATTACAAGGGGAACTTGAACAGCTTGTTTGTTTTCATCAGGAGAGCACTGAACAAGCATGGTGTCCATGGCAGAGTCGCAAGGAGAAATACACTGTTCTCCAAAAAGAACATGCTGCTCATCTGCAGTTTGCTAAAGATCATGTGGACAAGCCAGAGGAATACTGGAGAAATATTTAGTGGATGGATGAGAACAAAATAGAACATTTTGGTTTAAATGAGCAGCGTTATGTTTGGAGAAAGAAAACACTGCATTCCAGCATAAGAACCTTATCCCATCTGTGAAACATGGTGGTGGTAGTATCATGGTTTGGGCCTGTTTTGCTGCATCTGGTCCAGGACGGCTTGCCATCATTGAAGGAACAATGACTTCTGAATTATACCAGCAAATTCTGAAGGAAAATGTCAGGGCACCTGTCCGAGAACTGAATCTCAAGAGAAAGTGGGTCATGCAGCAAGACAACGACCCCAAGCACACAAGTCGTTCTACCAAAGAATGGTTAAAGAAGAACAAAGTTAATGTTTTGCGAGAAAGAAGAAATTATGTAATAACAGAGGTTGTAGCCAGAAATTATTTCATGCCTTTTTATTATCCTTATGTCAACATTTTGCTATTTTTGTACCCTTTACTTTACCCACACATCAAACAAATGTTACTATTTTTCTTTCTCATTTTTTAGCAACATTATGTTCATTCTTGATTACAAGGGGAACTTGAACAGCTTGTTTGTTTGAAAATGGCATGAAACTAATTAATTGTTAGAATATTTATAATCTTTTTTTTATTTTTAAGATTGAGCAGTAAGTTAAGAAACACGTAAGCTTTGCAGGGATTGGAAAAATTGTCTTCTGTGAATAAATGGGCAGCTGTTTACAACACAGCCGTGTCATGTTGTCACTGGTTATGGATCAGAGACAAACTATATCAGGTCACTAGGATGCATAGTGGTTTCCTTTTTTATTTTTGCTTTAAATTATTTACTTCAGTTTGGTTACTGCAAATTTTACCTTTTACCTCCAGAGTAATCTACACAGTTTTAGCATTTATTATAAACAGGAGGCTGTTGCAGTGCAGAAATACTGGTTCTGTATTTTACATATTAAATATATAGAAGACGCAAAAGGGGGTCAGACCAGATACTGAAAGCACATACTTTTGCCACTCACAAATATTTATCACAGCATCATTTTTCTCAATAAATAAATGACAAAGTATATATTTTTGTCTCCTTTGTTTGAGTGGATTCTCTTTGTCTACTTTCAGGATTTGTATGAAAATCTAATTATGTTTTGGGTCATATTTATGCATAAAAATATAGAAAATTCTAAAGGGTTCACAAATTTTCAAGCAGCACTGCATATATATACAGTGGTGTGAAAAGGTTTTTGCCCCCTTCCTGTTTTTTTTAAATGTTTTGCATATCTGTCACACTTTAAATATTCAGGTCATCAAACTAATTTTAATATTACACAAAGATAATGCAAATAAATACAAAATGCAGTTTTTAAATGATGATTTCATCTATTAAACGAAAAAAGCTGTCCAAACCTACGTGAAAAATTATTTGCCCCCCTCCTGTTAAATCGTGAAAGAACTGCAATTAACCACATTATTTTAGAAAGCTGAGTTAAATTTCACTAGCCACACCCAGGCCTGATTACTGCCAGACCTGTTGAATCAAGAAATCACTTAAATAGAAGCTGTCTGACAAAGTGAAGTCAAACATGGCGGTGGTAGTGTGATGATCTGGGGCTGCTTTGCAGCTTCAGGACCTGGACGACTTGCCATAATTGATGCAACCATGAATTCTCCACTCTATCAGAAAATCCTGAAGGAGAAGGTCCGGCCATCAGTTTGTGACCTCAAGCTCAAGCGCACTTGGGTTATGTAGCAGGACAATGATCCCAAACACACCAGCAAGTCCACCTCTGAATGGCTCAAGAAAAACTAAATTAAGGTTTTGGAGTGGCCAAATCAAAGTCCGGACTTAAATCCGATCGAGATGCTGTGGCATTTCCTTAAACTGTCCATGCATGGTCCAAAACCCTCCAATGTGGCTGAATTAAAACAATTCTGCAAAGAAGAGTCGGCCAAAATTCCTCCACAGCGATGTGAAAGACTCATTGCCAGTTATCACAAACACTTGATTGCAGTTGTTGCTGCAAGGGCAATTACTTTTTCACGTCGGGCCAGGCTGGTTTGGACAGCTTTTTTCCCTTAATAAAATAAATAATCATTTAAAAACTGCATTTTGTATTTACTCGGGTTATCTTTGTGTAATATTAAAATTTGTTTAATGATCTGAATTATTCAAGTGTGACAAATATGCAAAACAAAACCCCCCCCAAAAAACAGGAAGGGGGCAAAAACTTTTTCACAGCACTGTATATATATATATATGTAAATAAATATGTAAGTTGGCCTATCATGTCCAACAGCATCAGATCTCAGATCTCTTGACGTTTCAGGGTCTTTCCACAAGAGGTTAAAAGTGGAAAGTGGTTAAAACCAAAAAGAGAACGTTCCATGAGCTCTGTTGGGAACAAGTAGTTTACAACATCTGCTCATTCTTGCAGAAATAAGAAATTGGATGGACGTTCCCTGCTAGAAAATCCACAGCATAACTAGTCAACCAACTAACGATCATCTCCAGCAATTTCCAACTGGGTTTGCGTGCAAAATAAAGATTTTATTGCTTCAGATTTAGCCTTTCTCATGAAAAATGTGGACATTTTATGATTTACGAAATACATCCACACTGCATCTTTTCTTCCTTTTTTCAAGAGTTTACATTCATTAATTTACGATAATCCGTTAAAAAAAAATCATTTCAAAATCAATTCCTCCTCATTGCAAACGTTAGGCGGTGCTGCTTTGAGATCAGTTTAAATCCGCTCCGTTGATGAACAGCGCCATTCACGCGCATGAGAAGCTGTTCTCAGATCAGTGGGACCTCAGTCAGTCAGGTGACCAGAATCAGATGATTCTCTGCAGACGGAACATGGCGGACCTCTCAAAACACTGAGCTGATGAAGGGACGAAGGACAGCCGAAAGCTGCCCTTGAAGTCTCTCACTGCTGGATTGGTGAGATTTTGAGGGGAAGGAGAACATTACAGAGGATATTTGATCACAGGACATATATAAGGTAAACCAATAACGTTACTCTAAATGACATTAGCAGAGATTCAGACTGTAAGTTGCTAGCACAGCAGCTAGCCTTGCATGGCAGCTGGTTGAGCAGTCACACACAAATGCATAACACGGTAAAATAACATCTAATGACGGATCAAAAGTGCATTCAGGTGTATGTACCTATATTTTTAATCGTTTAGGATTTGAGGAAGGTCGAGGTTATCGCCTCTGCATATGCTGATTGGCACATAGTTACAACGTTTTAACTTTGAAGTTTCCTCTCATTTCCCCAGCGAATGATTAGTAGTTTTGTTTACACTTTGTATTATGTATAGCAGTAGCACCTGCTAGATACAAATATATAAATGTCTGGCTATAAATAAATACGGATTCATTTTTGATCAGCCCCTTGTGAAAAAGAGGAACACGTTAGCATGCTTTTCAAACGTTCTTATTATGGAAATAATATACTTTAAAAGAATATAATTAGGTTTGAACTGAATGTAATGTTTTCAGATACTTAATGACATGTTATTTACAGCAAAATTAAAATGTATTACATTTTTAATTTATGCAAAATTCAATTAATTAGAGTTCTTTTTGAATCACTCAAATATGACTTAAGTGCATCTTTATATGTAATTTCGTAATTTCTTTCTATTATTGTCTTTGAAATATGGTTAAAGTGTACTGCCGAATGTACTGACAAGCATTTTTAACTATAATAAACATTAATTACATTTTTATTTTAAACATTTATGTCAGGTATGTACACATGTGTAATGATGAAGTTGAAATTGAATGCTTTTAAGATATATTAACTTAAATCTTTTATCAAATTACACTACAGTTAAAATGACTGTCAATTACGTTACATGTGCTCTAGTATGTTATAGTCAACATATCAAAATAAGTGTACTTCTTTAAAGCATGATAAAAAAGATTATTGAAACATAATGATTTAAAATGTACTTTAAAGTTTACAGAAGTGTACCTTTTTAAATGTGTACTACACACTTAAGTAGTACTTAGTCTTGAATGTGTACCCTTTTAAAGTACAATTAAGTGGCCTTTTATTTGGTTAAAATTACATTATGTGCAAGTACAGTCTTTAAATATATGCTTTTAAGATTTGAAGTACACTGCACATTCAATACAATTAAGCACATTTCTTTTTCACCAGGGGCAGTCCTACACACATTTTATTGAGATATAATCTTATCTATATAATCTTGAGTTATGATGTCTTTCTATTAAACCAGCATGTCTAATTTTATGGAGAATGGCCCCAGCAATCATAATGGAGAAGCTGAGCAGGTGTGGGAGAGACCCTGGACACTGGAAGAGATGCAGAAATCCAGCACAAACTGGTCACTGGCAGCAGATTCAGGGGTATGGGGTGGAAATGGAATGCATTCATATTTCATATTCATATTGTATGCACTTGCGACTGCGTTATCCAGATGAATGTTTATTTGTATCTCTGCAGTTATTTCTTTTCCTGCAAGACTTCTCTCAAAGGATGTTGTCCAAGACACATGAGATTGAGAAACAGTTGGACGGTCTTATCCGGGACACTAAAGCCACAGACAGTCGCCTACACACAGTGTTTAACGACTTTCTCATGCTGTCCAATACACAGTTCATTGAAAACGTATGTATTTTTGTTCATGATTTTAGCTAAATGAGAATTCACTTTATGTGTGGATGCAAAGCAAAGCAGTTCAAGTGTTAAACTGAAACACCACTGACATATCACACTTGTCCTGATATAGTATGGGGGAGAGTTTGTCAGCTTTTGATATTTATACATTTCCTGTTCAATGTATCTCCCTTCAGATTAAAGCTTTAAATTCTTTATTGAGCATTTTTCTCACTTCATATTGAGAAGATTGTGAGATTTGATCAATTTCAAGAAAAAAATAAGGGTGTAAACACAAACACTGTTTATTGTGATATCAGATCTAGTTTTTAAATGTATTTATTAGAGGGTTTATGATGAAGAGGTGGAAGACCCTGCACCAAAGCCAGAAGCCATGGAGAAACAGCCTGAACAGGTAGTGATTGGCTATATTTCTCTGGTTCTTTCTGCTGTGAGTCATTTATGTGATTTCATACAGTACGTTATGATGAAAATGTTAATGCCTGATAATGGTTTCAAGCATTCCTATCATTTCATACATACTGTATGTGAAGGAGAAGACAAGGGAACAGAAGGAAGCAGAACTTATTCCCAAAGTCCAAGAGGCCGTCAACTATGGTCTGAAGGTCCTGGAATCTGCTTTTGAACAGCTGGACATTAAAGCAGGAAACTCAGACTCTGAGGATGAGGAGACTCTGGAAAAAGTAGAGCCCATTTTGGAAGCAAAGGTAAATGTTTCCCTTGAGCACTTATTTGATTATCAGACAGTTATTATACACATGTAATTAGTGGTTTTTGGGTTAGTGGTGTTAAAATGTGCAAAAAACTCACATTGAAAGAGGGACCCTGAGCCATGCCTATGGGTATATCTTCACCACTTTTTGTGCCTAAATGTATTTTTATTGGTAGGACCTGTATGTGGACAGGCCTTTGCCGTACCTGATTGGTTCCCAAGCATTTATGGATGAGGATGATGTTGGCCTGGGCGATCTATCCAGTGATGGTGAGATTTCCCATTCATAATCTTTATGATTTTCTTCCTCCTGTTTTAGGTTGCTTTTAACTTGTGTGTGTTTGGTGTGTTTTATAGAAATGTCTATTGGGAGCGACAGAGACAGCGTCATTGAGAGTGATGTTGAAGAAGGCGACGAGGTAAGAGATGATGATATGCACTTTTGCATTTTTGTGAACTGAGTCAATAACATTTTAAGAACATTTAAAAAAACAATATTTTATTTATTGAATGCATGAATTTTTTGAAAACATTAAATATATTTACATATAATCCTCCATTTGGATTAAATTCCAAAAGCAGTCGGATGAATACTCTGACCAGGATGAGGAAGTCCATGACAACTTTAAGAAAGTAAGACTTAAAAACTCTATTCTGCTATTGTGATGTTTTATATATGGTTGACAAATTTACACTGCATTACTGGTTAAAAAAATTATCTCAATGTGAAAGATAAACATAAATCTTACACCTACCATGGATGTTTCAAATGAGCATATTCTCTAAATGTTGACTACAACTCAAGATTTAAAACTCTCTCTCTCTCTCTCTCTATATATATATATATGTTTATATACATATATGCGCTTATGTTTTATACTTATTTCTTAAATAGGCTAATTTCTTACATTTGAAATGTAGCTAATTAGACATTTGATAACTGGAATATTTTAAAGCCTTATTTAGGTTCATTTGTTCATCCCATAGAAGCCGTCTGTTGCTTGTTATGATGATGCTGATGAAGAGAATGAAGATGAAGATTCTGACATATTTGGAGGGTCTGATAAGGATGAAGATGAGCTCAGAAAGGTTAATAGCGTTGCATTTTCTTAGCACCTCAGACATACTTAGAAAAGTAGTATTATGAGACATTATGGTTACACTTTACTTGAAGGGGTGTGCATAAGACTGACATGACACCTTCATAATCATGACATGACACGTGTCATGAATATGAAGGAGGTTTTATGCATGTTTATGACAACTGTCATTACGTGTCATTCGCTCAGTTATGTCATCTTTAAATTAAAGATGACATAACTGAGCGAATGACACGTAATGACAGTTGTCATAAACATGCTTAAAACCTCCTTCATATTCATGACACGTGTCATGTCATGATTATGAAGGTGTCATGTCAGTCTTATGCACACCCCTTCAAATAAAGTGTTACCGACATTATCATATTAAAATGTGTAAACAAAAAGCGTTCAATTTCCTGCATCCCATGTCTTTCAGGACACTGGTCTGCCATCCTTTGCTGATGAACTAGCAGCCAGAATCAAGGGAGAGACTCCAAATAAGCCAGAAGCAGATCGCACATGTATGGTCACAAACAACATATGGATTTAATTGTTTTATTGTTTAACACGTTTTCATCCTTCCATTCAGTTTTCTTTCTCAAGTTCATCTGTGTGCATGCACTTGTTTGTTCTAAAGCATTGTCATCAGGCCCATCCATCTCCCAGAAGAAGAGTAAAACAAAGAAAGAGCCAAAACCTCAGGGTATGAGCGACTGCGTGTTCACTTCATATAGCATGTGCTTATCAGATCATGCTGCCATATTGTGCAAAATACACACTGTCGTTTGAAAGTTTGGGGTCGGTATGCTTTTTTTTTTTTCAGGGTTTTTGAAAGAAGTCTATTATGCTTACCAGGGCTTCATTTATTTAATCAAAAATACAGTGAAAACATTTGACTATTTATTTGACTATTTTAATATATCTTAATTTTTTCTTGTCATAGCAGAGCTTTAATGCACAAATTGTATGCATTCTTTCTTTTTAGAAATATTAAATAAAAAAATAATAATACTGACCCTAAACTTTTGTACGGTAGTATATGTACATGTAAGATTCAGCAGATGACTATATATGTATTTTATTGTAAACAACTACACTGTTATTTAGCTTTTTTGAAGCTTTTGGTATAGTTTTACCATAATTTCTTTTAGGTACTTGTATGATATAGCTAGTAAAATAATGCCATATATTTTATGTTTATGTAATTACAGTGGAGGATGATCAGGATGAGATGTTCAAACCACCGAAAATGGAAGATGAGGAATATTCTGCATTCGATGGAAAGGGTGGACTTTTTAGTGGAGGCAAAGGCCTGTTTGATGATGATGAGGTTGGTAAATAATAATGTAGTAATCATACAAGAGCATACAAGTACAACTAGAAAAAGACATGGTAATAATCTTTGAAAGTCATTTCATATTATTTGTTCCTCAGGGAGATCTGTTTTCTGATGCACCCAAAACCGAGCCGATGGAAAAGGAAAAGACTGTAATCCAGACAACAGGTAACTCCTCTCAGCTCTTGTTCTGTTGCCCATTTCAAGTCAGATGTAGGCCAGTCCTACTTGAGATTTGAAACTTAGGCTGCAAGCTCACATTCAGATGCATAGAAGCATGTCCCGCCCTACATTTTTAAATTTTTCAATAATCCATTTCACTTTGATGTACATCACAGTATAGAAGAAAAGATATGTCGCTACTTCCGTTACATCACAGCTTTTATACTGATTGGTCATTTGTGCAATACTGTAGTCAAATATGATCCATTGTTCCAGACAACCGATTTCCTGCTTTCACTCCACAATCTCTTTCTTCTCACAAAAATAATTAATTTGAATTTGAATGTATTTCTATTTATTTTTGTATTTTGTAAAAAGCCATTTATAATACCTGGTTGACTGGGAAAAATGTAATTATTTAATTTCTACTTTTTATGTGTTTTGTAAATAGTCATTTATAATGATTTAATTTTTGCTTATGTATTTTTTAAATAGCCATTAAAATAATAACTGTCTGACTCAAAACCCCCCCCCAAAAAAACAACAACTTATATACAAAAAAATCAGTGTATTTAGGTGTTTTATAAGTAGCCATTTAACAAAAGTTGTGTCAGGATCTTTATTTTTTTTTATAAATTTTTTTTACTATAATGACTTGATGGCTGCACATAATAATTTTCTTACTCGCTTTTCTCTTTGTACATTCTGAAACCCACCATGTGTTGACATATATAACTCATTTACATAGTCATCTTATCTTTTGCATTTGCTTTTGTAGAGCCTCTTAAAACTAAGAAAATACCCACTGGTGCTGTCTCCATCTTTCCTGGTAAGCATTAACTGCATTACATTTGCGTACTCGCACGCTGTTTTGCATAAAAGTTTTCTGTAGTAACTAATGAGTAAGATATTTTCATGCCCCTTACCCACAGGAAACAAACTTTTTGGCTTACCAAATGATTCAGACTCACTAGAGAGCAAAAACAGCAAGAGTCCAGTGAAGCCCAAAGCGCAGGCAGCTCCAAAACGTGCCTCGGTGGGAGGTGGGCTGTTTGATGATGAAGACGATGATGATGATTTCTTCAGTGGGAAGGCACCTAACAAATCCACCCCTGGTAAATCTCTGACATTTGCCCTGCAGTATGACAACTGTCTGTCTTTTTGGGAAAACTTAAATGTGTATCTTTGTGATCAGGACAAGAGAATAAAATGCCAACGAAGACTGTAGACCTGTTTGGAGAAGCGGATGAGGAGGAGGATGAGTATGATGAAGGCGGAGCTATGTTTAGTGGGAAAGCCAGTGCAGCTCTTTCCCATCAGGACAAAAGAGCCGAGGGAGAGGAGGAGACACGTCCTCCAGAGAAAAAGGTCTTTTTTAAAAATTTTTTTAATCATCGTTATTTCGGTATGATTGTTGTTATTGGTTATATACTGAACGAGTTTGCTTTGCAGCCTCCTGTTGGTGCCATTTCAATGTTTGGGCCCGGCACTAAAAATATATTGGAGGGTCTGAAGAAACGCCGGCTTTCCACCAGTGAAGAGTCTGCCAAGTCTGAAGAGGTAGAAAACTTTCAGTCTCTCTGTTGTATTAATACGTGCTATTATTATTTCTGTATTATTTTTGCATTGTTTCTGCAGAGTGGACCTCCGCCTGAAGCAGTCAAATCTTCACCTGCTCTGGGAGCATCAGAGAAAACGCATAGCAAGAGTCTGTTCTCAGATGATGAAGACTCACAAGTACGACACTGTTCTATAGTCAAGATACAGAGAGCCTATTCTCAGTTTTCCAGTCTATTTAAATTAGTACTGGGCCATTTATTTAATATTCAAGTATTTTTGCAATGATTTCGCTGGTGATATAAAATTAAAGGGTTAGTTCACCCAAAAATGAAAATTCTGTCATTAATTACTCACCCTCGTGTTGTTCCAAACCCGTCGTCATTATGCCGGATCTGGGTCAGCACTGCCACACGCTCGCGTCATGATACTGTCGTGAACGCGCGTCCACAAGTGAAGCAGTAGAGACGAAAATGTGGAATAAAGTCGTTATTTTTGTTTTCTTTGTGCAAAAAAGTATTCTCGTAGCTTCGTAACTTTACAGTTGAACCACTGATGTCACACGGACTACTTTGTCGATCATCTTGGTACTTTTCTGGACCTTATATATATATATATATATATATCTCTCCTGTTTGAGGATGAAGATGATGATGAGGACAAAGAACCTCTTTTTGGCTTCAAAACACCTGCAAATAAAACTCCTTCTGAAGCGAAGGTAAGTGTGGCTTATAAGTGTCCATATACTTTTTGGGCTACCTTTCAAAATTTCTGTACGATTTTTTTTGTCTTTGAAAGAAGTCTCATGTGCTCAACAAAGGCTGCATTCCACAGTTATATTGTGAAATATTATTACAATTGGAAAAAAAACTAATATATATATATATATATATATATATATATATATATATATATATATGGGGTTAAACATGTCTTTACTGACACTTTTGATAAATTTAATGTATTCTTGCTAAATAAATATTCATTTCTTAAAGAAAAAGAAATCTTACTGAACCGAAACTTTTGATTGGTAGTGTATCATTCATTATGAATCATTTGACACATACTTTTTTTTTTTGCTTTGCATTTACATCATTAATGTCGGCCAAATTTTATTTACCGTGTTAATATTAGTAGCTAAAAATAACTTTGTGTTTCAGGTTTCTGGTGCTCCCTCTCAGTTTGAATCTACGGAGGAGGAGAATGTGCCTAATGTAGCAAAAGACAAGATAGCAGAGGAGAAGAAGTCTGTGGAGAAGAAGCCTGTGGAATCCACTCCATCCTCTGACAACAGCACTGAGGTTAAGAAGAAGCCAGTAGGAGCAGTGAGCCTTTTTGGTGGGATCGATGTATTAAAAGACAGGCAAGACACAAGTAAAGTGAGTAAAATGTTTACAAAATAATAAACAAATGACAATGTTTTAAAAAAAAAAAAAACAATTTTTGAAATAAGTTTTTATGCTCACCAAGGCTGCGTTTATTTGATAAAAATACAGTAAAAACAGTACTATTGTGAAATATTACAATTTAAAATAATTGTAATATATTTTAAAATGTAGTTTAATCCTGTGATAACAAAGCTGAATTTTCAGCAGTCTTCAGTGTCACAAGCCTAGAACACATAAGCAAACAGTGCCACCTTGAGGAAAAAAGATGCATTGCACACAAATTGAGGCATCAGATATGTAAATATAGTTGTGCAGGAAAAAATACTTACACATTTACATACCTCGAGTCTCTAGCGACCATATACACATTTGACAAAAAAATTAATCAGAAAATAGGCATTCTTTTATATTTTACTATTTTTTTTCTTGTTATATTGTTTATAATTAATAGATTGAGGAATACTAAGAAAGTTGATGTCTAACTTAAAAAATTGAAGGAGGGAGAGGGTAGAGAATGATGTCCCGGGTCGCTAAAGACCTGAGGTATGCATTTAGGGGTTAAACATGTCTTTACTGACACTTTTGATAAATTTAATGTATTCTTGCTAAATAAATATTCATTTCTTAAAAAAAAAAAAAAGAAATCTTACTGAACCGAAACTTTTGATTGGTAGTGTATCATTCATTATGAATCATTTGACACATACTTTTTTTTTTTGCTTTGCATTTACATCATTAATGTCGGACAAATTTTATTTACCGTGTTAATATTAGTAGCTAAAAATAACTTTGTGTTTCAGGTTTCTGGTGCTCCCTCTCAGTTTGAATCTACGGAGGAGGAGAATGTGCCTAATGTAGCAAAAGACAAGATAGCAGAGGAGAAGAAGTCTGTGGAGAAGAAGCCTGTGGAATCCACTCCATCCTCTGACAACAGCACTGAGGTTAAGAAGAAGCCAGTAGGAGCAGTGAGCCTTTTTGGTGGGATCGATGTATTAAAAGACAGGCAAGACACAAGTAAAGTGAGTAAAATGTTTACAAAATAATAAACAAATGACAATGTTTTAAAAAAAAAAAAAAAAATTTTTGAAATAAGTTTTTATGCTCACCAAGGCTGCGTTTATTTGATAAAAATACAGTAAAAACAGTACTATTGTGAAATATTACAATTTAAAATAATTGTAATATATTTTAAAATGTAGTTTAATCCTGTGATAACAAAGCTGAATTTTCAGCAGTCTTCAGTGTCACAAGCCTAGAACACATAAGAGGCTTCTTTTATGTTTTGTGTTCAATAACATTTAAAAATCATTATTATGATTTTAACTTTTGACTGCTAGTGTATGTAATATAAAATTAACACATAGCATAAAATAAAATATTGACACTTATGGTTTACACCCAAATTTATGCTTACAAAAAAGGGTTAGATAACTGGGGTCTATTCCACAGAAACAGACTCAAATTCAAGAAGAGATTGCTGATGGTGACGAACTGCAAAAGGAGGGCCCTCCACCCATGGAGAGTAAGGGGACCAAGGCCAAGAAAACAGCACTGAGTCTTTTTGATGATGATGACGACGACGATGATGAAGATATGAACAGTGATGAAATAATTCCTGTGCCTAAAGCATCCAAATCTACAGAAAATAATGCACTAAAGGTTAGTTGTTTCAGATATTTAGTGCTGTAAGGTATGAATTTGAATGACTTTAGGAAGGTTATTTAATGTTGTTTTTTTTATTTTGCTTGTGATCTCAGGATCATGGGCCCCGAATGAAGAGCACAGGTGTGTTCCAAGACGAGGAACTGCTTTTCAGTCACACTCAACAGAGGGACAACGATCCTGATGTAGACCTTTTTGCCACATCTCCTAAACCAGCTGTAAGTCTATGCTATGATGAACTGTTTTGTAATTCTATCTACACAGCTTTTAGACTTTTCCACTTCATGGTGACACAGAGGTTACTTACTGATGAAGGTATTTTTATTTTACAGGTGGCGTCTCAGAGCTCTGTAAAACCAGTTGTCCCCACGCTGTTCAGGGATGATGATGACGATGACCTCTTCAGTTCAACAAAGCCTAAAGCTCCTCCGGTACCGTTTGTTTCCCAACTTGTATATTAATACGTTTTTTTGTTTTTTAATGTAAAAGCCAATACTCTATAAATACGTGTACTTTATTATCCACATACAGAAAGTACTTGAGAAGCCCAGCAAGCCTAAAACAAATGAAATGGCCAAATCAACACTGACTTCAAGCAAGGTATACTCAGAAATAAATCTGCTTTGCTAATTTAATTCCTCAACATTCAACAACAGATATTTTTGTGAAAACTATTGTTTATATGTAGAGAATATAGATGTAAAAATGTATTTATTTATGTATTTACATTTTATTAAAGATGTTACTATGAATTATAATTATGTTATGGAGTAACTGAAAACTTATTTTAATTTTAAATTTTTTTTAAAATTAATTTACCACATATAAAACATTATTTGAGACATTTCCAGAACCTGTAAAAGTGGTTATTGGTTGACTTGTATGTAATTGATATTATTTGATCGCACAGGATTCTACAAGCCCTCTAAAATCTAAAAAAACCTCCTCAAGGATTGGAGATCTTCAAGTAACGTTTTCAAAAAATAAAATCTCTATACTTTTTTTATGCTCCATTTCTCTCATTGTGAAAACAGTGTTTTCTTTATTTCTATATGTTTTTACTTTGTCCTCCTGGCATGATCTTTCTCAGAAGTCAAAGAAAAGTCTTGCTTTATGACTCACCAATGCCTGTCAGCAATGTGTTAAAAATCTGTCTGCAAACCATATATACGTTTTCACCGTTTCTGGTATACCAGAACATCTGTAGCTTTGCCATAACATTGTATCTCTCTATGCCAATGCTGTAAACCATTACTGCACCAAAAGGAAACCACTTGATGCAGTGCTCTGCATCTGGCAATGTGCTGTTTACAGTGTTTGCAAGGCAGCAGTGTATTAATATTTGCCACATAACCAACAATTATGACATTGACTTAATATTTGCATACTGAATTGTGTTTTCTTTCTTGCATCAATTTAAACCATTAAGCCATCTTGACTTATTGACACAGACCTAAAACCTAGATTTGACTCTATTCACTATTCTGTTGTTGCCTTGCATGCACAGGCATGCTATGAGGAAATGCAAATCTGGTGTACTTCTAAAATAGTACATTACCTTCCTCTCTGAAAAAACATTTCCTTGGCATGTGAGCAAAGGGCACTGTGTGTATTGATTTTAAGTTTTGTCACAGATTTGTGACAGACCTGTTTGTTTCTTTCAGGCTAGCTTAGCTGTCAACCCTGCCAGCCTTCTGCCAGGCGCGGTGCCCCGGATTCCAGGAGCTGTCAGTGTAATGCCTGGCCTGGCACCTGCCTCTCTCCCTGCAGCTGCCAAGCCGCTGCCAGCTAGAGATACGATCCCTGATCATCGGCCCTCCAGTGAGGGAGGGGTGAGCTTTGACTCACCCGCTCAGGTCAGCATGCTACAGAATGCTAACAAGGTAGGTCAGACTGCAGTATGTTTTATAGATGTCACAAAATATTGGTTGTGTGCCATTGCAATGAAAAATTCTGCTGTTGGTATAGTGTGGTGCTAATTTAGCCAACACTTTTAGTTAAGTTTTAGTTGACAAAGCTTGGGAATTTATTGTAGGTTTAGTAAATGAAAACTTTTTTCACATTTTAGTCACGATGCATAATGGTTAAACTTATAATCACAATCATTTTGCATTGCTGATCATGATTGTTGTCTGGAGAAACTACATCAACATTATTGCACTTTGACCTATAAGCACAAATCAGGATACTATCAACTCTCTTCTCTCAAAAGCTGAAAAAAAGGGACATTTTTATTATTAATATAATTCTAAATAATAATCATGTTTTTATATTAAAACAAACAAAAAAGACTTGTGTCAGAGAGGTTGTGTAAGTGCATTTATTCAGGAATCACAAACAATATAGTCGAAACCCATGATTTATTAGAGTTTATTACCGATTTAACACCGTTTGGGAATGTTTAGCAGTCTACATTTCTATTTTTTCCCCCTTTTTTCCTCTTATTTTTGTTGAAGAAAATATAGACAGATTTTGTATATAGAGAGTTTTTATATTTACAGATTTTACTACATTTACAAAATGTTTACAGTTTTTACTACATTTTAGTCGCGTCTTTTTTCATCAACGGTATTGCATATTGATTTAGTCACAGCTAGTGTTTAATGATGTTGGTGTTGGTGTCTCGTCTTTCCTTAGTCATGGAAAAAAAGTTGTTAGTGAATATTATTCTTTATCATTTTCGTTAACAAAATTAACACTAGTAGAATGTCCGAATCACTGGCTTTTTTTCTACTGCAGGGTCGGGCTAAAGGCGCAGTGCGACGGCGGCCACAGACAAGGGCAGCAAGACATCTTGCAGCACAGGAATCTGAGGAAGCTGTTGGGGAAAGCACCTCTATACAAGCTGATGAACCAGTTATGGCTGCTTCTCTCCCTACCTTTAACCCCGTTTCAGTGCGACCCTCAGCACTCACTATACCGGTCAGCACCCCTGCTCCTGATGAAGCAGTCAGGCCAAAGAGATTTCTCGACTCTGGAAATGATCTGTTTGATTCAGATGATCTCTTTGCCACAAAGCCTGTTCCCTCCTCAAAACACAAAGCAAAAACCCCTGAGGAAGGCCGTAAGAAAGCCTCCAAGACAGAGGCCATCATAGCTTCGAAGAAAGACCAGGCCTCGTCTATTTTTGACAGCCACGGGGATGATCTTTTCGCCACAGTGAAACAGAAGCCTGTCCAGAAAGCCAAACAAATGTCCTTCCTAGATGATGATGATATTTTTGGAGCAGGAAGTAGTAAAAGTGCAGATAGTAAAAACTCCAAATCACAGGCCAGCTCCGCAAAACCAGATGTTTCCAAGGTGAATATCACACATTCTTTAATTCAGTTTAGTATTACAAATTAATTGGGTAGTATGGAGTGGTATGACTGATTTTTATTTCCCTATTGACCATACAATTAATGTTTTACAGGATGAAGTGAAAGAACCTCCCAAGGCCCAGAAGAAGCCCAAGGAAGTGTCTTTGGATGCAAGTTTGTTTGATGATGTTGATATTTTTGCTGATTTGACTAGCACCACAAAGCCAAAGGAGAAGACCGCTAAGAAGAAATTGGAGGCAAAATCTATATTCGATGATGACATGGGTTAGTTATCTTTGCAAAACACTCTTCACTCTGATTCTTACCAGGTGCCTCGTGTGTAAAACGTCCTAAAAGTGTGCGTATGCACAAAATACAGATTTTGCTTATGCACAAAAGTGTTCAGATTTGTAAAAACAGGTACGCCAGAAGCTGTGCAAAATTACCCATGGAGCAAATAATTGTGCATTCCCTCCCCCCCAAAATAATAACCATATACTGCATGGAGCCTACTCTGCCTTGTTTTACTATGCATAACCTTGTATGCATATAATTTCCATATGCATATTTCCATCCATGTGATGCTACTGTATTCCCTCAGATTCTATCCTTCATATGGTATTTTTCATAATGTTGGGAAGATGAGGGAAAGGGTTATTATAAGCCACCGTCTGTCTGCAGACACTTTTTTTTTTTTGAGTTCTTAACTTAAAATCATTCTGTTTACTTGATCAGTCTAGAGTGAATAAATGTGTGTTGTTTTAAGAACATTGGTTTTGTCGAAACTCAGAAATGCTCAATTACAGGTACCTGCTTTCTGCTTTCACCTCACAGATGATATCTTTTCGACTGGGACTACGAAACCAACGGTGAAGCCGTCCTCTAAGTCGAAGAAGAACCAGCCGGCCCAGGATCCCATCTCAACTGTGGAAACGGGCAACAATATTTTCGATGATCCCCTGAACGCGTTTGGGGGAAACTGAGCCTCCTACATAACAGCTATATGTTTAACTCTGTAGCGATATTCATGGCCTAAATGTAGGTAGATGTAATCTAACACTGTTTCTCAATTATTTAAACTCTTAATAGGTAACTTTTACAAAAAAATATAGAAAAAAACATGTAATGCTATCTGTGAAGTCATCTGATTGGTAAATGATGTAGCGGTCATCAAATGACATTGACATTTGTAATGTTTATGTGTCTTTTATTAGCACTTTAAACATGGGATTGTCTGGTGTTGTGCAAAAGAGGAGTTGATTAAGACTGGAGACATTCCTCTGACATTGTCAACTGTAAGGTTTAATTTTCCAATGTGGTGCCATATCTCTAAGCCTGTGCACCAACAGAAGTGCTTTTGCTGTTGATGTTTTTATAACTTGAGCTGAAGTTTTCTCGTGTTGCATGTGAAATGATTTTTGGAAACTAAAGAAAATCTATTTTATGAAACGTACTGAATGAGTCCGGGTGCTTGAATTCAAACACATTTGCAGAGGACCAAACCATTGCTAATCCCAATGTAAAAGATTTTAAATCTTTAAGGCTTTCGGTGTTGTACGCTGAAATGCAACCAGATACAGCCACAAATTGTTGTTTGACGCTGCCAGGGTGACCGGGGTAACATCCGGGAGATGGAAAGGGGAGTCGAGAGATTGGTCCCGCCCACTCTGCATTACCATTGGACGAGCGGCCCTCTTTTTCTTCAACGGCTAACGTCATTCGTTCTTCTCACTGTCAATCAAGAACATCACAATAGGCGGCCTCCTTTTCAGTTATTTGTATTCTGTTTTAATGGGGCGTTTGAGCCGCATAACATCGAAACAAAAGCGGTTGTCCTTGGCTCGAAAAAATAAGGTAACGTATAAGCGTGCAGAAACGGAAAAAGGTGGTATAGAAATTTGCAGGCGTCAACGGCATTTGCGAGTAGTTCGTCGGGCTGCCTGTGCCGCTTTGCTAAACCAGCTAGCCACTAAAATAGATTTAAAGCACACTGTATTGCACGTTTCTGTCGGATAACGGTAGAGACTGGGGGAATCCGGTCGCTTTTACCTTTAGGAGCAACTACCTAGCTTTTGGGGTGTGTTGTGGCTGGGACATCAGCCAGGACTCTGGTCCAGCGGTCCCTCCCTGCAGATCTTTTCTGATGCTGTCAAGGTAAGATGACAAAAAGGTGAACTGAACCACTGTTTTAAAAGTCAAAGCACAGACCTAGTCGACTGGACTTTTGGATGCTGCTCTTAGTAGTCGACTTTTGGCGAGAATAAGTAAACGTCCTTTGTTTCTTTAAAGGCACTTTTGTGGTGTTTAGACTAATTGTAAATAAACAATCATAAATAAACAGTGTTGATCAACAGAAGTAATATGTATAGATAGATAGATCTACGGGATTTTACCATGTTCTCTTAAAAAAAAATATTAATATATAATAAAAATGATATATTAATAAATATAAGCATGTACATATTTTTTTAAAGATATACATGTATGTGTGTGTGTGTATGGGTCATTGACGTATGAGGATTTTCGGCAGGCCAATTTTAAAATACAGAAAATAATATCTACTGTAATTGTTCAAACGTTAAGAATGTTGTGTACACACAAATTCATATTAAAATTTAAAATGAAGTGATTTTAGTGTTTTTTAATCTAGATGAATTGGCCTTAGCCTTAAAAAAATGTCATGTGGTGCGACCATGATTTATATTAAAATTAAATAATTTCCTTAACATGCTTAACATTTTTTTTTTAAATGTTCCCAGTAATTAAAGTGTTTAGAAACAAAGTGTTTGCATTTAATTTGAGTTTTTGTGAATAATGATCTCTTATTTTTGTTCTGTAATTTCAGAGTTGCCTTCTTAAATGTAGTTAACAGACTTATTTTTACTGCAAATTGCATAAAACTGATAAAAATGCTTTATAAAATACCATTCACATAAGCATACTGTAACAGTGATTCATATTTCAACCACAGAAATTAGATATTTAATTTTAATACAGTTATTGCTATTATTGGTCACACCACATGACGAGTGGTCGCTCCAAATGACACAAAGACCTCATATCATTAAAAATCTATTGAAAAAGACGTGTGAAAAGTGCAGCACGTGGCATTAACTGCAGGCATTTCTTTAGTGCCAGTTATTTCTGTACTTTGCCCAATATTGGCTGTTCAATTGACCCTTTCGCCGGGAGTTTGATTAACAGGCAGTCTGGCATATAACGCCGACAAACAAACCAGACAGGAGAGTAGATTAACGTCAGTGGACTTGAACTTGAAAAATGGTGTGTATTGACATCTTTTCACGGTTGAAACAAGCTGCCTTCTGATGTTCATACATGTTTATTTCGTGCTATTACTAGTAAAGATGAACAGATGATTGGTTCGTGTGCCGCTTGAACTGAGGGGCTACAGCGATCTGTCACGACATGTTAAAGAGCCACAAAACAGTATTTGTTGTTTGAATTTCTTAAAAAAAAAAAAAAAGACAAAATTTGAACACAGAGACTTTGTTTCATACTAAAAGTAACCAGCTCGGTCTTGTCTGTCAGCTCATTGTCAGTGTCCTCTTTGCGCCGTGATGTATTTTTCAATGCGTGAGAACATGATGCGTGGCATAAAAGTGTCATGGTTTGTCAGATGTAGCAACAGTAACTAAGGGGGCAGGTCTTTGCGAAAGGTCAATTTAGAGTAGGGGGGAGGTTGCTGGCTCAGGTTCTGAGATGACAACATGAACATCTTTCTTATAGTAGAAAATGACATCTGGAGTTTGTGCTAGACTGCAGGGTCAGAATTAACAAGCTGCCTATGGTGAGTGTTTGTTTGACTTTGCTTGGCAGTATAATCTGGTAGAATATATTAAAATAGTTATTAATAAATAAATAATATAAGACAAAATTTGAACACAGAGACTTTGTTTCATACTAAAAGTAACCAGCTCGGTCTTGTCTGTCAGCTCATTGTCAGTGTCCTCTTTGCGCTGTGATGTATTTTTCAATGCGTGAGAACATGATGCGTGGCATAAAAGTGTCATGGTTTGTCAGATGTAGCAACAGTAACTAAGGGGGCAGGTCTTTGCGAAAGGTCAATTTAGAGTAGGGGGGAGGTTGCTGGCTCAGGTTCTGAGATGACAACATGAACATCTTTCTTATAGTAGAAAATGACATCTGGAGTTTGTGCTAGACTGCAGGGTCAGAATTAACAAGCTGCCTATGGTGAGTGTTTGTTTGACTTTGCTTGGCAGTATAATCTGGTAGAATATATTAAAATAGTTATTAATAAATAAATAATAAAGTACTAAGAAATGCATAATTACCAAACTAAAATTGGATGCTCTGAATTATTATTAAAATTTTCTCATGTTGTACAAAGATTAAACATAAACCATCTGAAATGACCCAAATTGCATAAAAAGATATTCTAAATTATACTAAAATAAAGTATTTTATGCATATAAACCATCAATTGAATATAAAAGCACAAAAATGCCAATCTGGGACATATATCTGTAATGGAAAACACTCTGCAGTGGTCGCACTACATGATATTTTCAAATTCAGTCAAAATTTACAAGCACAGAATTGGTCACCTAAACAAAACACGCTAGCTTCCCACAAAAGGTCACTATAAAATTTATAATGAAAATAAATAATTGCAGACATAACTTATTATTCATTGTTTTTTTGAGGTCATACCACATGATGTCCAAATGTGGTAACTACATACCAGCCGTTTTTTTTTTCAAATTTGAAAGAGACCTACAAACCTGCTTGATGCTTCCATGGGTCCTTGGCAAATTGGTATATGATGCAAAGTCCTATCTTTGAATGGATTTCAACATAAGAGTCCCAAAATGGTAGTTTCGTGATGGTTGCACCACATGGAAATCATCGGACAAAGTTTGTTTGTATATTATGATGGAAATATAAATACAATTGCTTTGCAATTTTATACAGGATTACAAAACACTTGGGAAATCATGCCAAATAGTGCAGAAAATTAATTTGAATACATTTATGGTAATTTCAAAGACGTTTACTAAAAGAAAGTTATGGCCGGACAGTCGCACCACATGATATTTGACACTTTGAATAACCAGCCGTTTTTTTTTCAAATTTGAAAGAGACCTACAAACCTGCTTGATGCTTCCATGGGTCCTTGGCAAATTGGTATATGATGCAAAGTCCTATCTTTGAATGGATTTCAACATAAGAGTCCCAAAATGGTAGTTTCGTGATGGTTGCACCACATGGAAATCATCGGACAAAGTTTGTTTGTATATTATGATGGAAATATAAATACAATTGCTTTGCAATTTTATACAGGATTACAAAACACTTGGGAAATCATGCCAAATAGTGCAGAAAATTAATTTGAATACATTTATGGTAATTTCAAAGACGTTTACTAAAAGAAAGTTATGGCCGGACAGTCGCACCACATGATATTTGACACTTTGAATAACAGAAAAATTACAAATAACTAATGTTTTTTGAAAAGTTAAAGTGAGTTCATACATGGGAGAGGCCCTTCATATATATGGCATCTTTTTTATGCATTTAAACCAATTTTTAACTGAAAAAATGCAATCTGACAGAAAATTTAGGCGTCATGTCATTGACCCATATATATATATATATATATTGAGGTCAAATGTTTACATACACCTTGCAGAATCTGCAAAATGTTAATTATTTGACCAAAATATGTGGGATCATGTAAAATGCGTGTAATTTTTTTATTTAGTACTGAACTGAATAAGATATTTCATATATATATATATATATATATATATATATTTATATAAACTAACATACACATTTATATATTAAGTAAAGTATTAATTATCATTAAAGGGTTAGTTCACTTCCAGAATGAAAATTCTGTCATCATTTACTCACCCTCCACTTGTTCCAAACATGTATGAGTTTCTTTCTTCTGTTGAACACAAAAGAAGATATTCTGAAAAATGTTGGTATGCGAACAGTAGATGGGCACCATTGACTTCCATAGTATTTCCATAGTCAATGGTGCCCATCAACTGTTCGGACTATACATGTTATATATAACATGTATACTCATCAGACATCAGAATATCTTTTAATACAACTATTCTTATTCTCCACAGCCCAAAGCTCCATGCATGATGTGTTCCTACTGTGACGGAGGCGACATCTCAGCCCTCACTCCTCCACCTTGGGCAGGCTTCATTGTTGTCTCATCCTGAGCCCTGTCCTTTGCAATAATGACTGACAAGAGGAACCCACCGTTTTTCAATGATGACAATGTAGGCGTGGTGCACTACAAGCTGCCCTTCAGCGAGACCATGGAGCTGTTCATTGAGACTTTGACAGGGACCTGCTTCCAGCTGCGCGTCTCTCCGTATGAACAGGTTGTCTCAGTCAAGGCCAAGATCCTGAGATTGGAGGGTATGTGTCCTCTCTTGACTCATTAGA